CCACATCCTCGTCCTGATCCGCATCCTCATCGCCATCACTATTGCCTACATCACCAGCATGCTCTCGGCAGTGCCAGCGCCATCGTTTAGGCTACTCTGCTGCCCTCCCGCCTCCCTCGCCCCTCCTCCCCCCTCATCCCCAACCTCCTCATTCTCCCTATCCTCCCTCGCCCCTCCTCCCTCCTCCTCTGCTGCCCTCCCTCGCTCTCCCTCCTCCCTCCTCCCTCCTTCCTCCTCCCTCCCTCGCTCCTCCCTCCTCCCTCGCCCCATCCTCCCTCGCCCCATCCTCCCTCGCCCATCCTCTGCTGCCCTCCCTCCTCCCTCGCCCCTCCTCCCCCCTCATCCCCAACCTCCCCATCCTCCCCACCCTCCTCCGGTCTCGAGCGGGCGGGCGCTCTCGACTCCACCTGCGACAGCACAGCCGCATCCCACACTCCCACTCTCATCTGGCCGCACCGGACACGGCTGCTCGAGCAGCGCTGCCGCTCCGCTCCTTCTCCGCACATAGGCCTCCACACCCAACCCCCTTCCCTCAGCCAGCCTTTTACGTATCCCTCCACCCCTCCTCCCCTGCCCTCTTCTCTGCCACCCCCCCCGCCCCTCCCCGAGACCTCCTCCCCCAGCTTCTCGATCCCTCCTCCGATGTCGCCCCTCCCCCTCTGCCCCAGGCCCACTTCCCCATCTACCTCTGGCACCCCCAGCCCCCCTCCGCCTACCCATCCCCTCCCCCCCTCCCCCCCAAGGAGCGCGCCTGGAATCCAATGCATCGCTGCGTTCGCTGGCGCAGCTGGTCCGAGCGGCCCAGGCGGCCCGAGCACGCTGGTGAAGGGCGGGGTCGGAAACGGGCAGCTCCAACGCGGCAGCCCTCTCTCTTCATTCCACACATCACACCGCCTCCGCTCCATCCTCCCTCTAGTCTAACATACCTCTACATACCTCCACATACCAACACAAATGCATAGACATAGCCATATTGAGTACAACTGCGTATGCATATACATATACCTAAACATGTACGAATCCGCCGATCCAGTCGACGTGTATGAGAAGCCCTTCGACGCGAGGCCAGCCCAACCCAAACTGAAGCACGCCAGGCTCCTTCTAATCGTCGTCGTCGTAAGGGAGATCGAACAAGTCAGGGGGGATCGAATAATGTCGCAATTACGTCGAAGGGAAGCCCCTTCCATCTGTCCCTTCCCCGCCAGGGAGGTTGTCCCAGCAGGGGGCCCAGGGAAGTGGTCCGACCGGGGGGCCCCGCGGGGGAGGATCCCCGTGGGGGGTCCCCAGGGACGTGCCGGGGGGTGGCCTCCCTCACGGCCGGGGAGCTCAGGACCCCTCCCCCCGCCTCGGCCCCAGCTCCAGCCCCCCGGCCCCGGCCCCAGCCCCAGCCCCAGCCCCGATCCCAGCCCCAATCCCAGCACCAGCCCAAGCCCCGATCCCAACCCCCCACCCCAGCCCCGACCCCAGCCCCGGTCCATGTCCCACCCAGCCCCGGCCCCGGCCCCGGCCCCAGGCCCCAGGTGGCCCCTCCCCCGCTGAGGGGCTTTCCCGCTCCTCCTCCTCCTCCTCCTCCTCCTCCTCCTCCTCCTCCTCCTCCTCCTCCTCCTCCTCCTCCTCCTCCTGCTTCTGCTTATTATTCTTCTTCTCCTCCTCCTCCTCCTCCTCCTCCTCCTCCTCCTCCTCCTCCTCCTCCTCCTCATCATCATCATCATCTCATCATCATCATCATCATCAGCATCATCATCATCATCATCATCATCATCATCATCATCATCATCATCATCATCGCATCATCGTCATCATCATCCATCATCATCATCATCATCATCATCATCATCATCATCATCATCATCATCATCATCATCATCATCATCATCATCATCATCATCATCATCATCATCATATCATCATCGTCGTCGTCATCATCAGCAGCAACATCATCATCAGCAGCAGCATCATCATCGCCATCATCATCATCACCACCACCACCATCATCCTCATCCGCATCCTCATCCTCATCATCAGCATGATCATCAGCAGCAGCAGCATCATCAGCATCATCATCAGCATCATCAGCATCATCAGCATCATCATCCCCGTCATCATCATCATCACCACCACTACCACCATCATCATCATCATCAACAACAACAACATTATAATAATCAGCAGCATCAGCATCATCATCATCAGCATCATCATCATGATCATCATCATCATCATCATCATCATCAGCAGCAGCAGCAGCAATATCATCATCATCAACATCAGCAGCAGCAACATCATCATCAGCAGCAGCAGCATCAACATCATAATCAGCATCGCCATCATCATAATTATCAGCATCCTCATCATCATCAGCATCATCATCATCAGCAGCAGCATCATCATTATGATCTTCATCATCAGCAGCAGCATCATCAGCAACATCACCATCTTCAACAGCAGCATCATCAGCATCGCCATCATCATCATCATCATCATCATCATCATCATCATCATTATCAGCGTCCTCGTCTTCATCAGCATCAGCATCATCATCATCATCAGCATCATCAGCATCACCATCGTCAGCCTCATTATCATCCGCATCCTCATCCTCATCATCATCACCATCAACATCATCAGCAGCATCGTCATCGTCAGCATCATCAGCACCAGCAGCATCATCATCAACATCGTCACCACCCATCATCACGATCGACATCATCGTCGTCATCATCATCATGTTCATTTCCAGTATCATCATCAGCATCATCATGATCATCATCATCATCATCGTCATCATCGGCATCATCATCATCATCATCATCATCATCATCATCATTACCATCATCAGCAGCATCATCATCATTCTCCCCCTCCCCCATCCCGCTCCCCTCACCCTCCCCCTCCCCCTCCCCTTCCATTCCCCCATCCCCCTTGTCCCTCCCCCTCCTCCTCCTCCTCCTCCTCCTC